ATATATATATATATATATATATATATATATATATATATATATATATATATATAATTAATTTCTTCGTTGCTTTATGCTATATGATAATTCAGCAAACGGGCTCATTTCTCTGTTATTATCAAATTAATATACAGGGTTGGCAAAAAGTCCGGAAACGGTCAAATATCTCGAAAAGGATCAACTGTAGCGAAAAATATGTAAGTAGCAAAGTTGTAGGGCTTAATAAAAAATGTACCTAATGATGGCTAAAAATTTGACTTTGGGTGGAGGACGAAGGTCATACGAAGGTCAAATTGAATTTTTTAAATTGGACCCCCCACTTTTTATTACATATTCTTGTAACTTATTTCAAGAGCTTTCCAAAAACCTATAATAAAGTTATTATAGGTTATTATAAGTTATAAGGTTATTATAAGGTATAAGTTATTATAGTTTTTTTTATTAGGCATATTTAGAGTTATGAGGCTTGAAAGGATTTTGGTCTTTAACTGTTTCTGTTTCGTAAAAACATATCACTGACTTCTGAACGGTGGATTTAGAAATAAAATTGCGATCAGGATATGCAGCATTGAATGTGTAGATCAGTTACTTCTTCGTATGATCTAATATGGTCTCCAAATTTTCGATAAAGAAACAGCATTATCTTTTCTTTATCGGTTAACATTTAAAAAAAAAAATTTGAAATTGTACAAAAGAAAGAGAAAAGACAAAGAATAAGATGAGAGGGAGCACGACTCGTTTTTAAAATACAAAGATCGAGAAGCGTTATCGTGAAGCGCGGATATGCGCGAGTTTTGACTGAGTACGTGTGATATTACGTCGTAAATGAATAACCGCGTTCGATGCGAGCGAATAAACAACTAGACTGGGAGCTTAAAAAACATAAATACAAGAATAACTTTGTTTTTCGTGTCTTGAGCTAGACGATATGACCGGCTTAGTTATTCATTCGCTCTCATCGAATGCGGTTATTCATTCACGACGTAATATCAGACGTACTCAGTCAAAACTCGCGCATACCTACGTTTTACGATAACTTTTCTCGATCTTTGTATTTTAAAAACGAGTCGTGCTCTCTCGCATCTTACTCTTTGTCTTTTCCCTTTCTTTTTCCAACTACAATTTCAAATTTCTTTTTTAAAAATGTTAACCGATAAAGAAAAGATAATGCTGTTTCTTTATCGAAAATTTGGAGACCATATTAGATCATACGAAGAAGTAACTGATCTACACATTCAATGCTGCATATCCTGATCGCAATTTTATTTCTAAATCCACCGTTCAGAAGACAGTGATACGTTTTTACGAAACAGAAACAGTTAAAGACCAAAATCCTTTCAAGCCTCATAACTCTAAATATGCCTAATGAAAAATACTTTATTATAGGTTTTTGGAAAGCCCTTGAAATAAGCTACAAGAATATGTAATAAAAAGTGGGGGGTCCAATTTAAAAAATTTAATTTGACCTTCGTATGACCTTCGTCCTCCACCAAAAGTCAAATTTTTAGCCATCATTAGGTATATTTTATTAAGCCCTACAACTTTACTACTTACATATTTTTCGCTACAGTTGATCCTTTTCGAGATATTTGACCGTTTCCGGACTTTTTGCCAACCCTGTATACAGGCTATTTTGTTCAATACTGTCCAATAAAGAATTGATTTTTTAGGTTAATGTTATGAAGAAAAGTTCTGATGAACGTACACTGTGTGTGTGTGTGTGTGTGTGTGTGTGTGTGTGTGTGTGTGTGTGTGTGTGTGTGTG